TATTTAAGGGCCCTCGAGAGGAAAATACCGGTGTAGTAATTAAAAAAAAGGTCGTAATAACTCGATATCTTAACACTATTTGTTTTTTTCTAGAAGGAGAGAAGAAATGGGTAAACACTCGTCGCCAACCACCACGAAATCCAACACCTCTTTTGTCAGAAATCAATTTTCCACACCTCTTACATAACATCATATATGCAAACAAAAACAGCCCAAAATCCTAATAAAATTGAATCGAAAAATGATGGCACACATTCCAATAATTCCAATACTACACCCTACACTTCAAATCAAGACCTGTGGACCATCACTAATGGTGTCAGAAGGCCAAAAACCCTAAGGGTGGTGTCGTCGGTCGTTGAAAGGGCCGGAATCGAAAAATTGAATTCTGAGGAGCCAAAATTTGATTTCTCAATTCGTCCAAATCTACTCCTCAAACATCTACACGTTTTTACACAGGAAGCTTTCCCATGAAGATATGATCATTCAACTTAAAAATCAAGTCATTCTAGCATTGGACGTGCCGGTACCAATGAATTCAGGGACAACCCAGCTAGCTGGAAAAGCCAGATTCCAGCCACTGCAGACCTCATCACTAACCACGTGTCTCACCGCTGTTATCGGCATGAAATTATGTACAACCCTGTAAAGAATCATCAAATTCTAAGCTCGGAGGATTTAGGCCAAAAAACGCTGTTGCCTGCGGTCAACCAGTGGTACTTAAGTGGCTCTCTAGTAACTTCTGACCGGAATATTCATCCTATTAATTTTAGTTCATTTTCGCTATTGGTTTTCCCACATGAAGCCCAAGTAGTGCTCAATCAGGACTGGAAGACCTATGCTAATGCAATTTCTGATCATCTGAGTCTATCTCAGGCAGAGAAGAGTGCACGAAAGTCATTTGCACAGTCCTATAAGCTTCAGATGACTCTTTTGCAATCGATTAGCTTCCAAGGAACCCTTTATTCATTTTGGTGAGCCGCAGTCAATTTGACTGATTCAAATGAGGCTCTTTTGGCTGATCCTTACAAGTACACACTTGTAGGGAAGTTTCCCCACCGCAAGCCAACCATGAGGAATGTACGTAAGATCTCTTCTAAGTTTGGTTTCTATGGTAGCTTTGAGGTTGGGTTGATTGATACCGCACATATACTTCACCATATACATAAAGAGGACTATAGTAGGATTTTTCTGAAGCCTTCCTAATACATTGATGGGCATCTGATAAGGGTCTTTAAGTGGACATGTGACTTCAAACATCAGCAGAAGACTCCGATAGTTCCTATATGGGTATCATTCCCTCTAGTTCAGGTACATTTGCTTTTCAAAGGATTCATTTTTGCTTTTTCTAGGGCAATATGAATACCCTTTAGGATCGATGAGGCCAACTCTGACTTGAGATGACCTAGTGAGGCTAGCGTGTGTATTGATGTAAATTTGGGGCTTAATTTGCCTAACATGGTTTGGATTGAACACTTGGCTTAAATTTGGGGCTTAATTTGCCTAACATGGTAATATTAATATGCTAGTAACCGGGCTTCTGGCAAACATTTATTTATGAGAAGCGGCAAATTTTTTGCTTCTCTTGTAGACACTTGGGTAACTCCCATAATCCGTGTACTTTGGGGACACCACCACTACCTTCTCCTCATCTAGTTCCAATTGTTGTGCCTCTCCCTATTCAGTCCCTCCTCCTACTGCTACCACTACCAATAAGGCTAACAAGGGTAAAGGCAAGGTAACTTTTGTGAAGCTGAGAAAGTAGTGTACCAGTTTCAAGAGTACCTTCTATGCTTTCCACTACTATTGCTATAGTTGAGACAGAGTCAGTATTTACATCGGTAGTTCATACCTCGACTCCTACAACAGTTGCTAAAGAGGTACCACCTATTGTTCATTAAGTTGATAAGCATACTCCAAAGGTTCCACCTTCATTCAGTTTCCGAGCCACTCTAGAGGTACCACCAATTGTTC